ATGGGGTAGGAGGAGTGTATGATTCTACCAAGATGAAGGGTCTACCTGTTGGTCTGTAGAAGTAATCTCTTTTCTGTGCTAATTGCTGACGTTCCTTTAGGTGTACAGGTTGTAGGTCGTAAATGGGAAGACGAGAAGATCGTTGCGATCATGCATATAGTAGATAAAGCGCTTGGACCTAGAGGATTCGGACCGGGTAGTTGGAAGGGGACCTCTCATGAAAAATAGATTTGTGAAGTGATAGTGGAGGACGTACAAGCTCATTGCCACCTTTCTCTCGTATTCACGGTCATTCTGGTAGTTCAACAGTAGTGATTATGAGCCCTGTACCCATCGTAGGCTCCTAGCCAACCTGTCGCTGCATTGTCGACAATGAGGGATCGAACACAAATAAGAGATCGTCTGGCTTGGATCCCAAAAGTTGTAGGATATGGTGTTCGGAGTCCCTGGATGACCTGGGTACATCTGACGCTAAAAGCGGCTTTATCACCCAAACGGGTCCTATCCCCCAAAGTTAGTTTATGCTGGTCGAATATCATCCACCACCCCTCTACCACTATATCTCTCAACTTTTGGAGAGCCCTAGCCAAGTCGTGTGAACTGGCAATATGTGATTTGGTATAATCACTTGTGCAGTAACCTTCGATGAGTGTTATCATGTAATACAGATTTAGAGCATACTGAGGTCCGAAACGAGTTGGGAAACATCGGTAGTCAGCCCAAGCGAGCTTGGCCAGTAAAACAACGAATCTGCCTGGGTGAAGCTTGACATCGTCAGCGAATTCCAGAAGGCGAGAGATACATTCTGGCTTGAAAATAGAACCTGTAATACAGAATCTCCAGTCATCCCCAGAGAGGAGGGCAGGAATAAACCCATAACCTCTCTCGTATCCAATACTACTGCTGTAACGCTGGATATTGAAGGGTGAGTGAATTATTTCCAACAGAAAGTCTCCCCCCTCGTCCACCCCAAGAGCGGGATTTGTAAACTCCAGTCGTAGACGATCCTAAAGACAAATAAATCACGAGTCTAATGTAAAAAAGAGGAGAACAGACGAGCGTTTCAATATCAGTTAATGCGTCTTTGATGACTTCGTGTGTATGAAGATGGGCAAGTTGGTTCCACCATCGCATTTGTACTCGGCGAGCGCTGGGTGGATTGATAAAGTACCCATCCTCTAGAAGATATTGGCTTAAAAGCTTCTGCAAATTAAACGGTAACCGTGAATATTGCATGCAGAAATCGTCTAACTGCTCGTTCATTCCAGCAGCCAAATAGACAATTAACCGAATCCAGGGGTTTCGAAGCTCATCTAGGAGCTTTTTGGCCACAGGATTGGAGTATTCTACCAGAGGCGGGGAGTTGCATCTTCGAAGCTCGTTGAATATTAATTCTATTATAACACACTGCTGTTGTTCGTGGCATCCGCGTGTAATGAGTTCGTCAAATGCCAACAATACCCTATTCATATGTGCGGCTTTATGTAGTATGCCAATCGATTTCTTGAATTCTTCTCTATGATGAGCGTCGACCAGGGTCAATATTGCCGTAACCTCTTCATCCGTGATAGTAGGTTTCCATAAAAGGGAGATGGCCGGGGTTCTGTTTTGGGTGACTAGCAGAGCATTTAATACGTCATCAATATACGGATGATATGTTTGAGATTCTATCCACATGACACAATTGAGCTGCTGGATTAAATTTGAAGGTCGTGCCACAGGTATCTTTCCCCCAGTTCGAGTCAAGGCCATAGCCGAAGACCCTCGTAGTGGCGGCGATTGGAGGTGCATCAAAAAGATTAGATTATTAACACGATCTTGGGCATCATCATGAATACGTTCTGCCAGCGCTCGAGACAACCGAGGTAGTAGATAGTCATACATATGACTTATCCCCATCAAAATGATTTCTTTGTGCATATCTCGAATCTCTTGAACGGATTGAGAGAGATAATGAAGTTGGTTTAGGCAACCAACTCTCAGGCCTATTTGTGCTTCTACAGAAAGAGACTCTTCCGGTACTCCGATGTCGTAAAACAGGAGATAAATTGGATCAATAGTTTCATCTCTTGATCCACCGAAACTTCCGAAGTTGAGTGCTATATCACGTTCGTCTCCAGGATCAGCGACTGCTCCTATAGTGAGCTTCTGCAAACAGCGAAACAGAATGGCAAGTTCTCTCTCGTCTTCTTCCGTGAGCTTTCGAGATGCGGCATGCTGGGCATATTCGGATGCTAGAAAATGGACGATTTGGCCCCACGGTATCTTCTGCAGATTGTTTGACAGCCACTGATCCTCGTCCAGTTTCAAGAATTCTTGCACTAAGAATAACAGTCGGCGGTGAGAGTCTCTTGAAATACTGAGACTTTGCGCAACCCAAGCTAGGCTATTGCCAATCAATTGCTTCTGTTCAAGATCGATATGTACTTTATCACGGCCCTGAATGGTTAAAGTACTGAATCTCGATGGAATTTGGAGTAAAAAGCTATTGAGTGTGGAGACCCCCCGCCAGGCTTGGATGAGAATGCCTTGAATTCTGTCTTTCAATGACGTCTCCTGTGCTTCCACTCCGTTTTGTGGAGCATGACCACTGGAGCTTCTTCGAGCAAGTATGAAAGGACGCAATATAAGGTGAACAGATACGTATATCCACCGTACGATTGGAGCTCGGAAGGGCGATGAAGGAAACACCACTGCCAGAAGTGTCGTGACAACATAGAATGCCGCCCCTAGTAGTGCCCCACCAGTGATTACTCCTCCGACCGTGGTATGCACGTTCCACATCCACTGAGCCAGCCCGACGAAGAATAGAACAAGTGAGCAGTAGAGGAGTACCGGCAGGGCCGCAATAACCTCTCGCATCTTCCATTTCTTCATCCCACCGTATCGGAACTGTCTTCGTTTCACACGGTCTTCTGGGGATGATCCACTTCGGCTGACCGCTGCATCGTATTCAGCTACCCATTGTAAAGATACGACACTTGCTAAAGCCGCAACAATACTGGCACTCAAGCTGG